GTCATTTTTCTCAAAATGTCTTTTTTGACAAATTTACAAATTTCAAACTGTTCCAGCGTAATGAATTTTCATTCTATTGACCTGAGAATTTAATGCTATATATTTATGAATATTATTAACATTTTGTTGGAAAAGTTTTTTGAATTAAGTGGATAGTATTTTTTTTATACATGATATTTTATAGAGGTATCATGATTATTTCCTAAAAATGTAGGTTTTTTAATGTTTTTTTAATGTTATTTGTTTCTATAATAAAAAATAAAAAAATTACTTCCAACAATTTTTTCAATATTATCTAATATGTAATATTTTAAAAGAATTTTGTCATTTTGACAAAATTTCAGACGCGAGGAGTAATATAAAAAAGCATAAAAAATTGAAAAATTTAAATTTTTTAATTTCTTAAATTTCGAAATATTTTTTTGAAATTTTGTATAAAAGCTGTTTTTAGCAATATAAATGTATCCTGAAAATTTCAAGCAAATCCCTTTATAATTTCAAAAAAAAAATTTGAAAGCCCTTTGTCGCCTTATGCTGATATTTTCCTCTGAACTAAAAAGTGCCTAATATATCTCTTAAAGTTAGGTTTGATAACTTTTATGTCTGTCATCTATGATGAATTATAAATTTTCTGATTAAACAGAATCTTCGACAAAACGGACAGCAATGTGAACGACAACAAAAAATACTTCGTAAATTTTTTCTTTCAAAAAATTTTTAATTTGCAATGATAATAAGCAACGCAAAATACTAAAAACAAGCAAATATTGCAATTGTCTCAGGAGTGTAAACTTTCTCTAAGAATTACTAACTTTCGGAAGCATTGTCCTCAGTTCCTCTTTACGTCGAGAGGAAAAGAATTCTTTTTAAGTCCTTTAATTGTTCTAAATAATACATTATTATGTGTCAGTTTAAAACACGGGTATCCTTCTGCGCCAGAGTGTCAATATTTTACTTACAACTTTCTCCACACTGGTTCTTTCAAAAAATAAGAAGTCTGCTTGGATATGCTTACTTAATGCCCAGGTTTCGCTGCCTTAGAGAATTACTGTGTAGATTAATGTTTTACACTTACTGATTTTAAATGTATTACTAATTAGACGTGATCTTAGTTGGTTTCTCAAAGTGAGGTGACATATTAACGTTAAAAATGACATAAGAGTAACACATTGGAGGACAAATGCTACTGGGAGATCTCGTTGGAAAAAAAGACAAACTGAGACTGTTTTGACCAATGACATGAAGTAGTAGAGATATAGTATTAAATTGCCGTAAAAAGCTTCCACTAGATTGATAGTTCTCAGTCAGAAAAAGTTACTTATTATAAGGAACTGATTTTATAATCAAAGAATTATCAGTAATGATTGACAAGGATGTAACAGAAATTTACGAATCACTCTTTGCTCTAAACTGTGCTGAGAAAAACCTTATGGGAACATGGAGGGCTTTGTGACTCGACAAATTTAACGTACATCAGTCACCATTTACTACACTGGGAGTCCTCGACCGACGGGTATCGAACCCATGTCCTCTTGGACATGGGCCCAGTGCCCTACCAACCAGGCCTTCCCTTCGTTTATTAAAAAAAATGAGCTGAGGCTGCACTGCAGTTATTAGTTTGATACAAGGTATTTGCTCGATTTTTACTGTCGGTAATATACGCGTGCAAGCAATTTTAAAATAATGATAACCAAACGGTCGCATGTGGTTTCTTCTCATTGATTTACTGACGCTATGCAGACAGAATCAATGATCGGCATTTGTGAACCTTTTTAAAAGCTCAGAAATGCTATCATACTTGAACTTCTTGGTAAATTTCCAAACTTCTCGCAAGTAAAAAAATTTCTGCGAAAACCAAAATGCAGACCAAAAAGACCAAACCAACCAGAAAAAATCAAATGCAAAAGCCAAAATGAAACCAAAATACATCTCTGCAAAAAAAAAAAACAGTTTCATTTTTAAATGTGGCCTCACTCAACTACAACACTTTATATGAATTCAACAATGCACTAAGAGGACATTAATTTCAAATGGATGGTGAATGCAAAGTGTGCAAGCACAACTAATCTAAAAAGAAACCAATGGTTCATGTCGAAAATGATTTTGCATGGCTAGTGACGCGCAAAGCGTATAAGAATTTTGAAAGAGTTAAGATCAGATTGAAAACTCAATTTTATGACAGTCTTTTGCAAATGCTAGTGTTTTGTATAATGAAAATGTTCTAAAATGTTCCATAGCCAGATGATTCCATTCATTATGTTATTAAATTAATCTTATTGCTTAGTTAAAATTAAAAATCATTTGCTACATGTTCTGGTAAAAATAGATGAAAAATATATTCTTTGAGTCAAATATTGCAGAAATTATGCAAAGGTGCACTTATTTTTTTTTCAAAATGCAGTTATAAACTTATTTCCATTCAGCAGAATAGGCTTATTGAGGCATTTAGCAATTTAAGCGAGAAGTATGTTTTACATTTTTATATTTTGATCTTGTAAGATTGATGTCCTATATGGTACGGGACAAGTGTTGCGTGCATTGGTGCGGGATTTCACTTGCATTCGGGGATCGGAATTGCATTCCCCTATTTATTAAATTTTATTCAATGTCTTGTAAAATTGCATGAATGTTATATGCCATTTATTAAATGTCTTGTCTGAAAGACATAAAAAAATATTTAATTTCAAAATCCCGCTTTTTTGCATGGATAACACAGCACGCTTTTATGAAACAAAAAATGGCAGCTATTATTGACAAATTAAACTGAATGAGAAATAATGAAAAGTGAATAAAAATTTAAAATAACAACATTTAGATTCATTTCCCTAAGCTAAAGCGAACAACTAAATAATCATTTATTTATTACTGACAGAAAATTATCATTGTTATTTCATCTTGCAATGCAATAAGCGTCTTTTTTCATGTTCACAATCCTTTAAATCTAAGTTATCACAGCATTTTTTAAAATTTAAGTGGTTGGGTAAAAAATGAGTACCGTCATGAGCTACTTTGTGCAGCGGGGGCTACTTTGTGCATATTCGAATTTGGCATTTTTCAAGTGCTGCTATTCAGTATTGTGTTTATTTCACGCTAAAAATGTGTGGAATTTCAAGATAGAAGTCTCTTCTATTACTACAAACATTTTTCCGAATTTTAAAACAATCTCAGAGTGTGTTTCGTTCATCCAATGTCAACAACTTTCCGAGGACGGCGGATGTCGAAAATTGTGCGTGGAAACTTTAGCTGTGAAATGCAAAGACGTTGATAAAACAATTGTCGTAAGTGCAAATTTTTTTTTTATATTAATAAACAATTGGATCATGTTAGCGTTAAAAAAATTTGAAAATTAATAACAAATAAACGGGAAATGAAAAAAAAAATGCACTTTGGGACTACTTTGTGCAAAGTTTCATTCGTTTTTTTTTTCGACAGAAAAATGGTCAGACGTTATAAAAAAATACCTGGAACGAGAAACTACCGTGATTACACTTTAGAAAAGCTGCAACAATGTTTGCAAGCAGTTGCTGGTGGTATGTCGATTGCAGAAGCTTCTCGGAAGTACAAAATCCACAGAAATACTATCTCTAATAAAATTCACAAGAAACACGTGAAACGTGCTGGTAAACTATTATTTTTCTTCTACAAAGATTTTTCTAATGAATTAATCAAACGATTTAACACATAAAAATATATTTTATAGGACATCAGGTGATTTTGACAGAAACTGAAGAGCAAGTTCTGTCATGTTCATTCAAGCATGTTATGTTCAAATTTATCAATATTATAAATGTTAATGAATATGTAATAATTATTATTTTTGAAATTTCATCCATTTCAATGTTCAAAAATGTATATGGTTTCCTTTTGTTTAAACTCAAATGTTTTGAAATAAACATTCTTTTTAAGAAAAAATTCTTTATAAAAAATGGTTTTTTAACGCTGAAAATTATTTTCAAACTAATATCTTTACATATCTTGATGTTTTTGTTATTAAAAATGTCAACAATTAACTTTTTTAACAATTTTATATCAATATTTTACTAAAAACATGATTATTAAACTGAATTCCTATCGCTGCACAAAGTAGCCCCACTTGGGGGCTACTTTGTGCAAGGTATGTTTTGACTTATTATTTGTAAATATTACATACAAATAATGCCAATATTGATCAAATTCACTCGTCTGAGTCCAGTTATGAATATAATATCGATAAATTAACATAGTTTTTGTACATGTCAAAGTTCAAAAACTGCGAAATCCTGCACAAAGTATCCCCGAATGACGGTACTAAATTTAAAAGAAAAGCGACTGGTAAATTACTTACCAACAACAATAAGAAAATAAATCCGAATCAGAGTATTCCAATTCAGTGTCATGATTTTATCAATCAAAAATCATTAGAAGTTCCACCTGTTCATTAGACTCTTAAAGATTCTCCAACCACATTCAATAGCAACAAATTTTGCGATAAAGCTTCGGAAAATTATAGTTTATGGTCTTGATCATTTCATTGTCTTTGATATAATCTCCTCCTTAAATTTTTTTCACTCTTTTTATATTTTGGCAGTTATATCGAACGAAAAATGTAGTTATTTTTAATTGCTATTGATCTTGTCTTGCTATTACACTTGTTGAATACTCTCCATTTGAAGAAACATTCCATTATCTATTATGTTTTAACCATTTTTTTTACGTTCATTGTTTTATTCTTTTTAATACAATTATTTGATATGATAGAGAAAAAATATTCATTAGGATATATGCATAAATTTTGATGTATCTTGATGTGGTGTTTTAATAACTTTAATAAAATTGATAAATGTAATTATTCTATTATTTTATTTAAAAGAAGTAAATATCTGCTTTACTGTATAATTAATAAACTGCAAATTTTATAGTATGTTTATAAATATTTTAACGCCTTTCGTCAACATAATTATGTTTTCTATAAACATAATATATAATTTCTGAATTGTCAACTTTTGTTAATTTCGCTATCATTTGTGCGATGTATATGCCAGGAGCTTTGGATGATTAATAAAGTTTTCATATGATTTTCTGTTGTGCTTGAAACATAAACGTCTCATGCAGAATCTCGTGAGAGCAATTTACCATTCCTATTCCATTATATTTCAATCACCATCAGATTCAATTTTCTTTCTAAAAAATCGGTGCACTGATCAGAAAAATTAAAAGCTGTAATCCATATTTAATGACCGTCTTAGATTATAAGCCGTAAGCAGCATATGACAGAAAACGTGGGGCAATCATTTTTCTGGAAAATGCAAACAAATCATCCGATTCGCGCAACAGACTCTAGATCAACTGATGCAACTTCGAAATTCTCACTCCGTTCAATACAGAAAGGAATAGTTCGGTGGCGTTATTCGAAACAACTGCGCATGCACTTCCACATGGAATTGAAAGAGACAGGTGGGAAACGAGGTTTGGAACAAATCTTCTTGTAGAGAAGTTTCTGAATTCGATGGGAACTGGTAGGATTATAATTCTCTGGGTTTGAGGAAATAAAAGTGAAATGACATTATCGGTTAAGAGTTTTATGAGAATAGGGTTATATAGTTTAGTTCAATTTGTGTATGTTTGGTTATGTCACGGAAGTTTCATTCTCATAATTCAAAGTTTAATGCCAGTAAATAAAAGTTTCTGTGGTCTCATTTTTTCCAATTTTTTTAGCCATATTGAAAAATATTTAAAGCCCCCGAAAGGAAGATAAAATTTCAATATTTTGTGGTTAAAATGAAAACTTTAAATTCTTTAAAACATAAGTGTGAAACAAATTTTAGTTTTACAGCTTAAAAGTTTTACAGAATGAAAAAGTTATTTTTTATTCTCATTTACTACTTTATTTATCTACTTTATTCATTTTGATGCGAAATGTAATATTTACATTTGACTGCCCAAATCTAACCTGAAGATTACGTTAAAAGTGGAAAATATGCATATTAAATAATGAAAATTGACTTCGGGAGACTTAGCAGTTACATTTCTTATTAAAAAAAATTTTAAGCTGATATTTAATTATTAATTGTTGGTTCATTAATAATCACTAAGGTATTTATACATTCCTTGCCAATGTGATCCTTGCTACTTAGGACAAACTAGACATGCTTTAAAATTTAGACTTAAGGGACACGTTAAATATGCTAGCTATTAATAATTCAAGAAATCATAAATTGCAGCACATTGTTGGAATATGTGGTATGAATTGAATTTTGATAATGCTATAATTGTTTCTATATCAGTCACATCAGCTCATCTTGATGGAAAATTGTTTCACCCTGATTTGCCTCCCTCGGCCACTGTGGTTTCTGAGATCTTTTTTTCCTCCCTCGACTGCTGTGGATTGCCTAGTTTTGTTTATCATTTTTATTTTTTAATTTTTCATTGACTGCTTAATGCTTTATATTTCTAATCCCTCTTGTTTCTTCTCTTTCAGATTTTGCATGCTTTGAAAATGGGCACATAGTTTTAAGTGCTTGAAATATGACCACTGTTATTGCTAATTTGTATACTTTTGAAGCGAATGAAGTCTTTAATCAAGAAATTATCTATGGTATTTATTTTAAATCTTTACACGCTTGATTTTTTTTAAAGTTTTCTGAAGCTATAAAAATTATTAATTTTAAAACCAAAAATTTGATATTTAAGTAGAAAACATTTCAATGAATAAAATGAAACAAAATATGCTAGAAAAAGGAAACAAAAGATATTACTGTTGCACTGAATAAATAAATAAATTCATTTCATAAAGTTCCCTGTTAGTTGAAATAGAAGAAATTGAATTCCTTTTCAGTCTCAAAGGAACCCTTAGCTAGTTAGAATAATTTTCAATTGTCATATTCAATGAAAAGCAATTAAACAGCTTTCATTCATTTCATTAAAGTAGTTACTTCGATTTAATAGATATCTATAAGAGAATTCTAATTATCGACTTGTATAATCCGCACATTGTAAATTCTCATAGATTTCAACGCGATCGCAGATTTCTTTTCCTTTTTTATAGTGTAATTGAACACTTATATAAATAAACTTTTATCTATGAACTATTTTCTGAAGTACTAGCCTTTTTCAATAATAATTTTAAGATTTAGAATCGTGTATTGTAAAAAAACAGGAGATTATGTAATTATAAATTCAGATAGCACAAGTAATTGTAGATTTAATTTTTTACATTTTAAATAACTAAATTTAATTTATTTCAATAATTAAATTTAATTGATAAATTTAATTAACCATAAAATTTAATTGAGAAATTTAATTAACCACAAAATTTAATTGATTTCAATAATTAAATTTAATTGATAAATTTAATTAGTCATAAAATTTAATAGATTTTTTATTTTATCATTTTTTAGCAGGACTCCAAGAATTTTTCCGCTGAGAGTTAGACGTTAACGCTGGTTAAAAAAAATATATGTATAAAAAATGGCAATTTACTTGTTATTGACATTGATTTAATATTACTGATTTACTTTTTTAATGTGATAATTCTTACAATTTATCAATTCAAATGAATTTAGCATTTATTTTTTTAAAATCATCTAATTTCCTCTTATTTTATTTAATTAGATGATAGATATTTTTATAGTGAATGCTAAATAGTTTTATTTTGAATGTAAACACATCAAAATATGTCAGTTTATTTGCAATGGATGATGATTTACTCACGTAAATATGGTAATTAATAAATAAATTTAAGCTGTAACAGCAGTTAATTTTTTGTTTGAATAAGATAATTGGTGATTTTTTTATTAATTGTTAGAACAGTTTTAACTTTATTTTAAAATTTTTTTTTTTATTTGTTTATTTATTTATTTTCTAAAATTTACAAACTGCTTGTAATTAATATTGGTTTAACTTTATTGATTTATATTGTTTAATGTGCACAACTACTATTGTTTAATGTGCAACTATTTTTTAAACGTATTGACTACCACCTATTTTCGAGAAGTAGATTTATTTCCAGCATGCTTTTTTTACTTCAGCATTAACTTTAACACTGTAAGTTTAGTTAACTTCAAGACTCTTTTTTTAAAGAGATTTCATCTGCTCTTATTTTTCAAATATTTCACAAAAATGATGTTTCTATAACAGCCCAAGCTTAAAAAATAGGAAAACACGTTTTCTTTTCAATTACATGTCGATAACTCACGGTAGAGGGTGGGTAATATAAAAAAAATGATCGAAAAAATACTCGCAACCAATAACATAAACACCGCACCAATTGGTGAAGCCATTCAAAAGATATAAAGAAAATTTAATCTGAAACAATGGATTTCAACAACGGAATTTCATGTTTTTGATATTGCTCCCGAAGCACATGATGTCGGTGAATGATGTTGTTTACAAACTGAAAAATAAAAGTTTGTAAACCGTAGAAAAAAAAACAGGATCTAAATCTGAACACTTATATATTTTTAGTTTTAGCATCGGCGATTTTTGTTATTCGTCTTGCTCTATAAATTGTCCTCCGACTTCGCAGATAATCACTATTGCATTTATTTTCTACATAGATATTGTAATAGTAATTATTTTCAGAATCTTCAATCAAACTTTTTTTTTGCATTTTAAAGCGAATTTTGAAATAAATTGATATGAAAATAAATGTCTACATATAATGCATTGAAATAACAGATAAAAATTCCGATTTGAAAAGTTTCACATAATTTTTGAATCAAAAGGGTTTTAATTACACTTCTGAGCCAAGTCTGCGGGTTCGATCCCCAGCCCAGACACCGGATTTTCGGAATGCAGAAAATCCTCAGCGGCCATGTCGTATGGCTCTCCTTATTGGCTCTTAGCATTACCGGCAAAATTAAAATTCCTAGTGCACTTTAGCATCCAAATAAAGTCTCGGTGCTGCCATCTATTGTGGCAGAAACTAGACGTCCAAATTAACATGACCAACGGTATCTCACCCATATTAGTGGGTCCTGAAAGAGTGGATACCACCTCTGGAGAACGCACTAAGTCTACTCACCGACAAGACCAATTGTGCAGGTCATTAGAAATAAAAAAAATAGAAAAATAGTTGATGAATTGTGTAAGTGTAAATTAAAATCTAAATAAAGTATATCAAGACAAAAATAGTAGAACCAGGCCGGGATAGTCTGGTTGGTAGGTGAAGTAGGTGTACAGGTGATTGTGAGTTCGATCGCCATTGGCCGAACACTTTCTGTGTAGTAACTGATGACTGCTGCACGTGAAATCTGTCGGGTCATAAAATCCTCCAAGTTCCCATAACGAATAAATGTCTCTGGGAGTATTGAATTGGAGATTGATCGTTCTCTGCTCCAGGTCAAAATTACGATCTGTGGAGGGATAAATATATGTATGACTGCCTATAAAAGGGATGTGACGTGTACGTGGCGGAAGTTGCATTCTCCAGAAGTTGTATTGCGCCACTGAAATGCTTTGTACCCTCTGCTTTTGAATCACTTGGTTTTACCAGCCAAGATTGCTGGTATAGGCAAGTGACTTTGGAAGCAAACTAAAAACACAGTAGAATTTTCCTGCTCATACTTTTACTGTGCGGAAAAAAAAAACCTGTCAAATGAGAATTTTCTCCCATTTAATGATTTTTAATTTTAGTATTAGAAAATGAAAGTAATTACATTGCTACCTGGATTTTATATCAGAAAACACCTCAAGTATTAAATATAAAACCCTACATCTAATTATCTTAACAACCTCTGAAGCAAGAATCTTCTTA